GAAAACTGAGAAAAAGAACTTCTTTTCAAAAGATGGAAGTGATTGATAAGACTTTGGGAATAGAAATAGAAGACATTTGGAGAGCTGGTAGGTGAGAGTTCTCATATATTTGTTTGGCAGACAGGAGAGATAAAAGAGTACTTAAATTAAAGAAAAACAGTTAAGGGTTAGAGTAACCTCATACTTGTGTCTTTCAGCCCATTCTACACAGTGCCACTAGATTTGTCTTACTAACACACAACTTTGATTATGGCAGTCCCTTGAAAAAACATCTTTCAGAGACTCTCTTTTGCCTGAGGTTAAAAATACAAATTCTGATGTTAAATGCCTGAAAGTTTGGCCCAAACCTACTGTTGTAGCTTTATTTTCCACTGTTCCTTATGTAGACTTTCGCTTTTAGTGTGGCTGACCTGTTGGCCTAGTAGTAATTTATTTGGAGACTGTCTTTATAGTTTCGAATTGAAAAATAAGGTAATGAAAGTATTGTGTCTTGTTTTATAGGCTAAATACACCTCAACCGATTTCTTAAAATACACTATTACGAAGTAAGTTTAGTGTATGATTATTTCCAGCAGCTTTGAGGACAAATTGTAATGGCCAAAATTGTAATGATAGGTTCAGATAGCAAAATAGAACATACTATGTTGTATAGTAAGTGCTTCCCTATGTTGGATCAATGAAATTATAGGTCAATTTAGTGACACAGTCCTCTGATAGAATTTGATATGTGCAATATTTAAGCTAAGAGAATCCAAGACCAGTCCTACATCAGAGTAAAGATTAAAGTTCAGAACCACTGAAATTCAAAGGTTTGATTAGAAGCAGGCACTAGAACCGAGCTTTCTTCAGCTTAGCTGTACAGTTCCATGTGATTTGACTATGGACTGCTGAAGTAGCCAAACAGAATAAAAACTGGAAGGAGAAAGGGGCCCAGAGAGCCCTTAGCTACTAGCAGACAGACCAAACAAAAGAGAAGCAACTTTAAAAGAGCCCCAGACTGGTACCTGGTTAAGAAGAATGTCTGTCTTTTAATAAAAGATTGAAATTGAAAGAAAATAAGGTGGTTATTAAGCAAAGGCACTGGAGCCCAGTGATCTTTTGGCCTTGTTTTATTCCTAATGTGTTTGAGCAACATGGCTTCCATGTTATTCACTCATCTCCCACAAGTATCTCAATACTTCATAGGATTTCTGTAAATGTTTTCAAATTTCCAGGCAGTATTATTCAAAAAAACTATAATTTTCACGGTTGCTTTAACCATACTGCCCTAATTGAATGCCTGGCACTATATTTCTATACAAGGGATTAGATCGAAGTTATGTTTCAAAAGCAATTTTTCACTGTCCAGTTCTTTTACCACAAAGTCTTCTCTGATTATCCCTTTCCTAAGCTCCTTTTTTTTTTTAAGAGACAGGTCTTGCTTTGTTGCCTGGGCACGAAGGCAGTGGCGTGAT